ACTGCGATGGCCCAGGGTGGGGATTTTCCATGGGTCTGGCATGAAACGAAATGCTTTGATTTTCCTGGTGGAAGAAGTGGCTCAAACAGATCTCACTCTGCAGACGTTCAGGTTTCAGCCAAGTCCCATTTTTTGGTGGGGTTGTTTCCTCGTTTATGCATATCCGGCCAGGAGAAAAGAAGCACTGACTGCCAAAGACTGCCCCCGAATAGATACATGAGTACAGGAACAGATGTAGATATAGGTAAAGATATAGATAAGGATGCGGGCGTAGGTATATAGAGATACAGGTATAAATAGAGATAAAGAATTAGAAATAAAGTTATGTACATCTATGTATATTTGTATACACTTGCATATACTTGGGGTGTGCCTCTCTGTCTCTTGCTGCCTCCACAGCATCCTGCAGCTTTTGTCCCCGACCTGCTCCCTGCACAGCATTGCTGCTCTGAACCCCAGCGCGAGCCTGCAGGCAGCAGATGGGTGCAGACAGAGAGCGAGCGTGGGAGGACGATGAGCCAATATTGCTCAGCATGATAGACAGTGGTCTTAGCACACCAGCAGCCTAATTCAGTCTTTTGCTGTCAGTCTTTTCGGTAGATATGCTGGCAAAGGATGGATTTAAGGAGGAATGTGATGGGGAGCAGGGCAGCCCTTGCTGCTGTTTGCAGGGATGGTCTGAGTGCAAGGAGGGGACTGGAGGACAGCAGTGGGGGTTTGGCTGCCCTATGCCCAGCAAACCCTTGCTATTGCCCTGCTTACTGGGTGGAACCCAGTTGCTCTCAGCCCTAGGACCTTCCAGCTCCCTCCAGGTCTGTCCCTAACAGAGCAACTCAGGAATCATTTTGCAGAGGTGCTCCCCCACCTCTCCGAGCCCATATCTTTCACTTTGCTTTAAATATCATAGAATGATACAATCATAGAATCATGGAATGACCTGGGTTAAAAAAGACCGCAATGACCATCTAGTTTCAACCCCCTGCTGTGTGCAGGGTCACCAACTATCAGACCAGGCTGCCCAGAGCCACATCCAGCCTGGCCTTGAATGCCTCCAAGGGATGGGGCATCCACAGCCTCCTTGGGCAACCTGTTCCAGTGCCTCACCACTCTCTGTGTGAAAAAACATTGGTGAGGAAGTCATTGCTGCACATGTTCATTATTCTCTTTTGACACAGTGCAGTCCACTATAATCCACACTCTTTGCAAGAAGCAAGGTACAAACGTACATTAAGAGATTTGCAGTGGCCATGGCAGCGTTGCGCCTGGTATTTGATAAAGGACACAATTTGGTGTCTTCCTGATGAGCAAAAAATTACATCATTGCTTCTGTCATGTATAAGCCAAGATGCTTGTTTATGGTGTGAACTCTTGCAAGGCTTGTATTATGGTTTATAGTGCAGTATAACATTTGCGTGTGTCCTTATACTTTCACCGTTCAATCAGTAAGAAAAGAAAGAGGAAATAAGATTTGTTAGCAATAAAGCAGTATACAATAGCTATTAAAATGGGGTAATTACATAATTAGCACAGTAGTGGTAACTCGCCCAGCATGAACAACAGTAAAACAGGCCCCGGTTTCCCTTAGTCTGACTTGAGCCGGGACCCTAACAAAACCTCCAAAATGGTTATTTAGTTGAAACACACACGAAAAACTTAAAAGCCATCGTAAAACTGAGAAGGGAGGCCCAAAAAACCACAGGGAAGCCAAACACTTTCAAAGAAACAATAGTAAATTAGGTGTTAAAGATATAAAAGCCTGTTCCCTAACAATTTAATTAGGTAGCATGTCTGTTACAGACATTATGCTGCTAGTTTTGGAGCCCACGGCGGGGCCTCACAGCTCTCAATTCACACTAGCCCCCAAGAGAGGAGTTTGTTATGAAGGACTGATGTTTTTGCTCTACAGAAAAGTGTGATGGTAATCAAGTGAAAATGGCAGGTAGCACAAGGAATTACTATTTTTCTTCCCCTTTGCAACTTTCCTCGACATATTTTTACAGTAATTAAAAGCCCATTTTGAAGAATAGCCCTGTTTTTAATTAGCACCTGCTTCAGTTTCATCTGAGCTCATTCCCTCGAAGAAAGACCAAAACAACCAAGATGGCCGGGCCGGGTCTTGGCTCAGAGCAGTGTGCCAGCAGCTCCCGTCCTGGACGTGGGACAGTGCTGCATCCCCAAGTGCTGCTTCGTGCCACTCCTGCTGCTCCATGGGCATCCCTTCTGCCTCCTCGTGCTCTCTCTGAAGTCCTTTTGTTGCCTGATCTCAGAGGCAGGGCTGCAGCTGCTGGGCTCAGAGTCATTTCCAGGGACAAAATTTCCTTTGGCTTATTGCTTGGCTGTCTGTCCTTCCATCACCTTACAGTGATACGAACTTACAGGAGCTAAGAGCAACAGGGAGCTGAGGGGTCACTTTAAGTGGAAATTCTTTGTGAAACAATGGTGATGTATCCCTGCTGGAGTCAACTGAAGCAAGTAGAGAAGTCCTGAATTCACCTTTCTGTCACTTAGCATGTTTTGACTTCATGCTCAGCCTGATTTTAGAGTGCAATGCTTGTCCAAGCCTCCAGTTGCAGGAGCACACGGGTTCACTCCAGCATCACCAGCTGGAGAAGCCAGAGCTGTCCACTTCCAGCAATGCACAGAGATGTGTGGCCTCTGCTTTGAGTGATCCAGAGATGGATGACAGCACTTCTATATTATTTTCTGAGCTTCTGACTTTTACTTATGCCTTTAGACTTGCTTCCGGACCTGTACTGCTGTGCAAAACTGGAAAAAGGAGTAAGCCTTTAAAATGGGGTCAGCTGTGTTCCGAGCACTTGTTTGTATGGACTGGGTATTGGGGCTGGAGAAGAGCTGCTCCCTGTGACGCTCATATCTTAAGAGCATGCATACCTCTCTGGGCATATACTGAGAAGGGCTTCAGAATTAGAGAGAGGCATGCATACTGCGGGACCTGGGGATGCTCCCATGGATTTGCTGGGCACTGATGCAGGCAGGACTGGTTCCCAATGGGACCGACCAGCCAGAGTGGATGGGTGGCTTCATCTGACCCTGTGTCAGCCGCTCAGCTGAGCTGCAGCATTTCTGTTAAGGAACAGAGAAGCAAAGACTTCTCTTACCTCACTATCTGTGTCAAAGCCATTGAGACTCCACTTCTCCTCCCAAAGTAGCTGGCAGCAGCTCCTCTCCCCAGGGTGCACAGGCTCCTGCATTTCCATGCTTGTGTGCATTGTTTGCAAAGGGCTTTAGAGTGGAATCCTTCTCACAAGACTTTTTATTTTTTTATTAGCACTTCATTGTTTTTTCAGGGCTGGAAACAAGCTCAGCCATCCTGATGCTATTTTGGACCTCACACCTCTACTTGACCGAAGAGAACTAAGGACAGCTGCAAAAATACAAACAAACAAATAACTTCAACCACTGGATATGCTTTAACTGTTAATGAGCTAAGCCTAACAACCCCCCTAGGAGGCACATGTTAATTTATATGTTTGCATTAGGTCCATCCTGCAGCCTCTCAAGCTGTCTGTGCAGGCAGGACGAGCTGAGCAGGGCATAGAGGTGGCACGGAGTCTATGGTGAGGTTTGACTGTGCCACTGGGGCTCGGTGTGGCAATGCCCATTCCCTGCTCCTGAGGGATAGTGAATGGGACTGCAGACAGGAGCTGCAGAGCTGCAGGAAACCATCGTCTCATGTGTAAATAGCAGCATGATTTAGCCCGCACAGCTGCCAGAGCAGTGTGCTGGATGAAGCTGTGCCCCTTGCCTGTGAGGAGCAGGCCTCCCACCCCTCGCTGCCCTGTTTCAGCCTCCTGTTTTCACCTTGGGCTGCTGGAGCCACGGGAGCTCCTTCACCCATGCAGTGCAGGGGTTTCCCCCCAGCCTGCCAGGCCGTACGCTGCAAAAGGCCCAGGGACACCTCGGGCTGTTGGTGCTGGAGCAGCAGAATGGGCCCACAGGCTTCAAGTGTCTCCTTGGTCAGAAAAGCAAAATGTGTAAAAATAGCAGCTTACTGTTGAGGAAAACTGCTTCCTGTCTGGGCCTTATTTCATCACCCAAGGCCAGAGCAGTGCAGCTGTGAAACCGCAGTCTGACCGCGGCTCTCTGCTCCCTACCAGGACATGGCCAACGGGCTGCTGGCCGGGGCACCTCAGGGTGACCTCCTGTCCCTGGGGCTCTGCCTCAGAGGAGCCAGCCTCGAACACTTGGGGCTCTGCATTTGAAATACATGACTTTTTTGTTGTCGTTATTTGTTTGTTTGCACTGAAATCACTCAGAGAGGCTTCTTAGCCCTGCTAGGAAGTCCCCACCCTGTTTTACTGATGATCTAAGCTTGCAGTTTGTAACCTCTTGGCCGGCGGTGGGCATCTGTGGGCTGAGTAACTCAGTGCCTCTGCACCTGAGATGGGAGGATGGCCATTTTGTGTGTACGCGGGATTTGTGTCCAGTTGGACAACAGGAGGAAAAGGCTGCAGGGCCCTCAGAGAAGCAGGCTGGAGAGCAGACCTCAGACTGGATCAGTTCTTGAGTCTGACTGAAAGCTTGTAGCTTGAGTACAGTTGGCTATTAGTGGGCATAGGAGTAAAGGCTGGTGGAACTGGCATAGTTTGGTCCAGGGAAGCCTGGAATTAAGTGACGTTCTGTTACCAATGGCCAGCAAGATTCTTCAGCTCCTGGTACTGCAACACAGAGGTGAAGTCACTTTGTAGGCGATCTTAGAAACAACCCTAACCGTAACCCTTAAGCCAAGTTTTTTCCTGAGGTAAATACTTCTCCAGTACTACAGGACTTCCCAACGGATTCTCCAGAGAACCTGTGAGGAAAACAAAGAAGCAAAGCATGAAATGGCATTAGATATGTCAACAAAGTGTATGGGAACTGCTGAGTCCTGGCCTGAACCACTGATTGAGCACCTGGAGAAAGGACCTGGTCAGCCCTGAGAGCACAGGCAAAGGCAATTTAGCTGTGAGATGCAAAGGGGACGCAGCCTGGCTGCATCTCTCTTACACCTCATTTAAGGGCTGACTGCCACTGGGGAAGGGCCTCTGGTTGGAGAGCCCTCCTTGTTGGAGCTTTCCCTTGCAAACCTGGAATCTTCTGATACAGGTGAGCAATCTTCTTCCTTTCCTTGAAAGCGCTTCTCTATTGTGCCATTCCTTTCATCATCACACCTCTGTGGTAATGCCTTTCCTATTGTATTGATCTGCTCAATTGCTACACATGGTTTCAGATGAGATCTCACCCTAGCAACTGATGTTTCCTCTGTGTTTCTGCTGATGACCCTCAGTCAGTGCTGCACCAGCCTATGTGGTCACCTACCCTCACTTTCACTGCACTGTCAGATGAGCATCAAACAGCAGCGAGCTATGTCACCCAAATCCAGTAAAATGTCTGCACATGGCAGGTGAGACCCAGAAGTCCAGAAAGAAACTTCAAAAAGGAAGGAGCATCTCAACCCAAGGCAGCGTATCTCTGTCCGAAGGCCTTGCAAACAGATGAGCAGAGGCTGCCTGAAGTTTGCTCAGCTATGCCATGGTACGTGGAGGTGGCTTGCATTTCACCAGCACTTGTAGTGTGACTCACCCCAGGAAGAGGTTCCTCTGCTCGTGGTGGGTCCGGGCACTAATGTTATTACTGTAATGGCCTGGGTTTGCAGCTTCACATTCTTGTTGTCTCTCTCTTGGTTTCGGTCAAGGTACACTCAGAATTTGTTTTTTTTTTTTTTGTGCCCACCTTAGCAGAAAAATAACCATGAGAATTTATATCACTACAATTCCTGTTCCCAAACAGGCTGTAGATAAATACTCCAAGCTGCATCTGATTTGATTTAAGATCTTATTTCTCTTGCTGAGGTATGTTTCCCTCGTGAGGAGGGCAGTCATCAAAGCCATGATGATTCACGCAGTTTTGCAAAGGGGTGGTTTGCCAGTTGTGTTCTCCCAAGCTGTTGCTAGGCTTGTGAATCAGATCTACCTTATTCGTTCCCACAGAGCCAAGGACTTCAGCTGGAGCCGTGGCTGGGGGAGATCTGAGTGGTAATGAGGGTTGGGTCAGGAGGGGGAATTTCCATTCTGGGGGAAGTCCTGACACTCCCCAGCTCTTTTGTTATGAATTGGGATGAAAAAGTGAAATTTGGAAATCTCCCATGAGATGTATGTTTAGAAACTAGTCAGGAAAAAAGAAAAGTCTAAATAAGACTAAATGACGCTGATTTGTTTCTACTTTCCTATTGTATAAAAATGGAAAAACGAGACATAGGGCAGTGAGAAATATCTGAATGCACAAATGCAATACAGATTTTATATGTGTAGCTGTGGAAGCAAAAAGACCATAATGAAATGGAACACATCAATGCCATTGAAAAGAACCACCGCGGCGGTGATGAAACACCATGTTTTGACATTCTCCTGTTGTAAAATTTCATTGAAATTGACAAACTGCCGAGAAATATTTTGATTTTGAATAGACTGTACTGGATGAGAAATTGCACTGTTGAAAATTTTTCAGCTGGCTCCTTTGCAAACTGAGTAAACAGCTGACGAGCAGGCCATCGTCGCTGCTGGAAACAGTGAGACAAACACGCGAGGGTCAAATCCTGAGCATTTCAGCAGTCACTCATCAAAATACCGTTTGACTTGAGCAGGAAGCTGGACTAAATGTGAACGGCAGTGTTTGGCACACGGTGGGTGTCCAGATGGCCTCGTGTTAGGCACTGCCTTCTGAGGGTGGATCCCACCCAAGTTATTATCAAGGATTCTTGCAACAGCCACGGGAGAGATTGACAAGTCAGATCGCCTTCATTAGGAGCCAAATTCGGGTCTGCTAAATCACCCTCTAAATTTCAAGCAGATGAAAGACGCTGAAGGAGGAGGAAGATGGCAAGAAGCGTTGTTCACTGGAATGCATGTACTGGAACTCACACTCACGTCTTCTGCTGGAGGGACCTCTGCCAAGGGAGAACATCACTTCTCAGGAACTGCTGGTTCGAATTGCCACTTAATCTCTTCAAATTGGCTTTCGTGTACACCCGTGGCACATGGACCTCAGCAGTCTGGTAAGTCTGAAAGTCTGCATTGTTCTCTTGTCAGGTTCTGAGAAAGACGAAACAAAATGCTGAAATCCAGTTGCTTCACTTCCAGCAATTTCTTTTAAACTAGTGGAAGTATGCACTTGAAGTGCTGAAGAACAATATCCACTTAATGTGCTGTCAGGTAGAGAAATGTGTGCCCTGCTTTTGAAGACGTGATGATGTACTGCTTTGTCTCAGGTGCAGAGCTCAGTGCAGCCTGAGGAGTTGCACTAGATGCTCTAAAACCTTATCCTGGCTGCACTGAAAAGTGAGATAAGAGATGCAGAATAATGCCTGACGCCTCAAATGGTGTGTATCAGGGCTATTGCGTGATGAATGAGTTTGCCTTGGGAGTTGAAATTCATGGGTGATAGCTTTAAGGGAGCAGACAAGACTTCTGAATGTATAAAGAAAGAAGGATACAACTCTGAATTTATACAAGACGTATTTAATGTAAAACCCTAATGAAGGGTAATGCTTTGACCCCAAGGAAGGCATACATTTGCAATGAAGCTCTGGGATGCCTCACTTGTTGATGGCACACAAAAGCTTGGCGAATTTGGACTGGGAGATAGGCACTGTTATATGTCAGTGTGCAGCCTGGCTGCTGCTATCACAGCACTGGGAGATGGGAGACCTCACAGAGTTCCCCATGAGGGCTGTATTTGTTTTCCCTTATGACATTGGGATTAACAGTGGTGTTCTACTAAATGTGACAGATACCACCTGCAGGTGGCCTGCAGTTTTGAGGAGGTAAACCTTCCAAAGCATTGCTCTGTTCAGCAGTGAAATTCCACTGATCTGGAACTTCGGGTGCTTTGTCCCCTGGTTTGCTGATTTGCTGCAAACCTGCTGTTTCTGATTTTCTTTCTGTGGCAATGTATTGGGAACACAGTATATGGCTTCTTGAAGCTTAGAATTGAGCAGGCAAACCACTGATGTGCAAAAGAGGCTTTTGATGCATGGCAATGTTGTACACATACAAAATACGGCATGTCTGTACAAACACACATGTGCAAACACATTTAGTACTGCTGTGGCTTCAGAAGCACCCTGTGCCTCCCCAGAAGCCTTTCCAGAGGCAGCAACTCAGTCCTGTTACCTTGTGTCTTCCCCTGTGAATGTCCCTTGTACAGCAGAACACAAGGAAGATTCCATCCTGAGTCCCAGAGACGCCTTCATCTCTGTATCTATGCAGCCCCAACCTGTGGCAGCTCTGTGGCCATCCTAAGCACGCGATGCTGGTGAGGTATGTGACCACACACTTGTGCAATGCCTCTAGTTCCTCCCTGCGTGCCTCTACACAGGCTGTGCTGTGAGTTCTACTTTTCTTGTTTATTTTGGTTGTACCTGTATGTTCTTCTGCAGATTCAAAGCTCTGAAGAAGCGGTCTTGGCATGACTGTCTGCTGCTGAGTTTGCTGGAGAAATTAAAACTTGTCTTACAGAAGATGGACTCACTGGTTTTATTAATATTGCAAAATAGCTAGATTTGACAAGCAGCCAAGAGCAGAGCTAGTCCCTTTCCCAGCCACAGGTTGTCTTATAGTGAACCCTTCTTTCACTTGGCAGTGCACTGCAAATGTGAGAACCATGCCTCCTCCTGCCATGGCTCTCACATTACCCTCATCTCCACCACGCTGTCCAACTCAGCTTAGCTGAGCATGGAAGCTGCCTCCTCACCCAAGCCTGCAGTGCTTAGCCAGGTGTGCCTGGCTGGATGAGGGAGGGGGACACCGCGTATCCTGATGGCAAGCACTGTGTCTGTAATAGGAGGTGCCATGAGCTGCTCACATTGGCCAAATGTCCCATGGTTGGTTGAGATGACCCTTCACCTTTGTCTGAAGGGTCACAGCTTGGCTTTTCTACAGCTCCAGGTAGAAGGAAAAGTGCCACTGGCTGCAAGAACTGAATGAGTAATTTGTGATGAATAATTCATGGGAGCAATGCTGCCTTTTTTCCAGAATGCGAGCTGTCTGTAGGAAAAGGCTAGGTTTTTCCCATAGAACCTTCTTATTTGGAAACATTTATTGAACAATCTCTGAGAAGAGAAAATCTTGGTCTGCAGCTTATTAGTGAGTTGTTTGTTGTGAGTGTTTGATGGTCCAAATCCAGACTGCCTTGCGTACATGCATGCAGCTCACATGGGCCTGATTAAAGTCCATCTAAAGTCAGAGGGAGCCCAGGGTGGCCCGTGCAGTGTCTTCTTCTCAGGAGCAGGTTTCTCCCACTCATTGCACCCAGGTGCAGGTATCCACTGTGCTTCAGTGTTGGGCTCAGAACTGGTCAATTTGAAGAACAAATCAATTAATTGTCAGCATCCTCTAGTAACAAGTACAAGTGAGCTTCAGGCAGCGTCCATATAAACTCACAATTGTTATACAGGTTATAGAGTTTAAAAGGTCTTGTGAAATCATCGTGTTGGGCAGAGGAGACAAGACAGCCTTGTATGTAAAGGACTTAAATTATGGAGAGTACTTATTTTTTTAAAGCACTTCTAAGCACAGTGACTGCTTTTTTTCCGTGCTTCTACACCAGTTCTGCTCTTTCCAGTTTTAATTGTACTGAGTGGCTTTACTGTTGACTCCAAACCCTTGGAGCAGTCAGCAGGAAGTGAGCACTCAGACATGTGAGAGGACTTGGACCACAGCTTCCCACCCATGCCAGTGAAAGGGTCCTGCTGGGACTTGTGGAGAATGGAGCTTCTGGGCCATCCATACCAGCGTGAACCACCATAGAGAGCTGTGGTATAATCTTGCATTATTTTTCAACTCACAAGCTCTTTTCTTCCTAATGAGCCATCTCACCTTGCTGTTTTGAAAATCTTGAAATCTTTTATGACTGGAGAGCTGAAGGCACCATCTTTAGGCACCATCCTTTGGAGTGTCTGGCCTGCAAGCATGAGTTTTCTAACTGGCACTTTTAAAATCTCCCTTATTCTCATGGACTTTTCCAAGAGGACGTTGGCTGGTGGAGCATGTCAGACTGCTTGCCAGCCACCACCTACCTGCAGCGACATTTTGCAGCTCCTTCAAGGAGGCTGTAAATACGCACTGGAGACATCTGACTTCAGCTAACCTGGTCAAGGTTAATGTCACAGAGATGCGGGGAAGACAGGAAAAATGATCCCTGTGAGCTCAGTGGCACTGTGGCATCATTCCCTTTCCAGACAGTAAATCATACACTAATGAATGAGAGTGGTCATTTCTGAGAGCAGCAGTTGGGGGAGTTGAGAGCAGACCTCCAGGTTGTTCTCATCCAGCCTGAGTCAGCCAGGGCTCTGTTGTGCTGGGTTTGCTGAGATAATTTTTTCTGCAGCACCTTGTACGGTGCCCTGTTTAGGGTTTGTGACTGAAACAGTGCAGATAGCACACACTGTTTTAGCTGTTGCTGAGCAGTGCTTGTGCGTCAAGCAGGCTGAAGTGCACAAGGAGCTGAGAGGGGGCACAATGAGGGAAGCTGAGCTCTGCTGACCAGAGGCATATCCCATACTGTGAGACGTGCTCAGCTCGTGGAAAGAAGGAGGAAGAGGTGATGGTCAGAGTGTGTTTGTTTTCTCAAGTCCCCATGACGTGATGGTAGTGGCTGAACACCTGTCTGTTGATAGAAGGGAGGGAGTAAATTCCTTACTTTGCTTTGCTTGTGCATGCAGCTTTTGCTTCCTTTATCAAACTGTCTTTATCTCAATTTATGAGCTTCTGCACTTCTGCCCTTCCCAGTTCTCTCCCTCAAGTAATGCGGGATCACAGAATCATAGAATTGCCAGGTTGAAAAGGACCACAATGATCATCTAGTTTCAACTCCCCTGCTATGTGCAGGATCACCAACCAGCAGACCAGGCTGCCCAGAGCCACATCCAGCCTGGCCCTGAATGTCTCCAGGGATGGGGCATCCACAACTTTCTTGGGCAACCTGTTCCAGTGTGTCACCACTCTCTGTGTGAAAAAACTTTCTCCAAATATCTAACCTAAATCTCCTCTGTTTTAGTTTAAAGCCATTCCCCCCTTGTCCTATCACTATTCACCCCTGTAAACAGGGTCTACACACACCTATACTGAGCATGAAAGACATATCAGCTTTTTGTGCCTGAGCAGACCAAGGTTCTGCAGCACATCCTGGAGCTCAAATCTCAAACCATCCCTGCTGCCTTGGTATCAAGCACTTCCAGATCCAGGCTTTTGGCTCCTTTCAAGCTTGCTGGCAAGTAGAGAGTGATGTCCTTAAATAAAGAGAGAGAGCTGAGAACTTTTTGGTGGAGTTAGTGCATGCACATCCAAGCAAAGTCTGGAAAATAGAAGGGGAATGGAGCCTGCCTGCGAGGCTGTGCAGATAGCCAGGGCTCAGCAGTGTGCTCCAGCCACGGAGCACTAAGCCATGACAGCAGGCTGGCGCGGGATCGTCGCAGATTATTAGTGCCTCCTGCTTTATAAGCGAAGCTCTGGGGGAGGAAATATGTAGTGAAGTGAAACTGGTGATTGTACAGGCACGCCAGCGATTAAGGTTGAAGTGGGTGGGCAGTCTGTGGGGGCTGGTGTGTTAACTCCAGCCAAGGAGAGGCACAGGCTTTCCAATCTCTGCTATCTCAGTTTCAGCGCTGCAGACAACCCATCGGGGTGTCATTAACGAGCAGTTACTTCACTCTCGTTGCTGTGCTTTAAGGAAATATGTCAAAGGCATTTCTGGTGAGCAAGGGCTCGGTGCGATCAGATTGCTCGAGCCTTCTCACAGCATTCCATTCAGATTATAATACACAATAGTTCAGACCCTGCTGTGTCCCATTACTCAATTATGAAATTGCTTTAGAAGTTGGGAGCTTACTGATTGGCTCTGAATGATTTCATACCCATCATATTTCTGCGTGTTTGTGCTCTTGGGCTGATTTCTTGTTCTCGTTGGTTCAAGCTGCTTCACTCTTCACTTTCATACACGAGAATGTATTTTATACTTTCCCGTATCACTAAAAAAATTACCACTCAGCGTTCTTTGTCTCTTCAGGTCGGTGGCAGAGACACACACGACCTCTGAGGTCAGTTGCTGTGGGTTTGGAACCTTAATGTAATTGCACAGCAGCAAGGAGAACTTGGAAGATGTGGTGAAGTGAATGACAAGCAGCACAGAGCTCTTCTGCCTTACTGTGGGCTGTTTGAGAAAGAGGGCTGGGACTGCAGATCAGTCCAATTGTGCAGTTTCCCTCCTTCATACTGAATCCTCAAGTTTACCCACTAAGAATCACAACCAAAAGGCATAATCAGCCTGTATAAAAATTTAACTTTGTTCACAAATTGAATGGAAGAAGCAAGGAAAAGGTTAGAGTGACTGTTCAGGAATGATTTGCTTTTGTGCATCCCCCTTATGCTTTTGCAGGGATTTTACACCTGTTTGAACTAATCCCGAACCCCTAAAACCTGAATCATGCCATTTGATTCTTCAGAACAGCCAGTCTGTTGGTATGCCATGCAAAACTGGAGTGAACAAGAACAGAGACTGGGCCACTCGGCTCATGCATCCTTAGGACCTGTTTGCATCTGTCCAAGGAGAGCTGAAGCAAGGTCCTGTTCTAAATTAAAAGAATGTTACATGCTGTAGTTTGGAGAGCCAAAATAAACTCAGTCTTTGAACTTTCCTAAAACTAACTGCAAGCGATCGCTTTGGGCACCTATTGTTATTAGCAGTGTCGGTTTTCAGAAACATTTTGTACCAATCAAAGCAAAAAAAGCTGGGGCTGACGGACTGATGGCACACGGAATTGCCAGGGTCTAGTAGAACAATACCATTGACGTCTTCTAAGGCAGTGCTGAACTTACAAATTTCCTGCATAGGAAATGCCCTTGGTATGCAATTAATAGTTTTCTCTCTTCTTCATCAATAAAGGAATGTGAGTCAGCATCAGAGCATACTGCCTGGGAGGCTGGATGGGTTTAGGAGCCCGTGTGCGTGGCCAAGCAACTGGATGCCATTGACCCGGTGCTCAAGCCTTGATCTGTAGTTCAAAGGGGAGAGACTTCTTTAGAAAAAGCCTGAACTGTGGCAATCCCTTAAGAGTTTCTCCTGGGCCAAATACTGAAATCCTCTCTAGGTTAATTCCTCACTGGAGACATTCAGAGAGTTGCACAAGTCAAAATGAAATGAAGACACTGGAACTGTCTGGCTTATTCTTAGGGAATAATTTATTTCCCAGAATCAGCATTTATTTATTTTTTTTTCCCCTTCAGTTCAGATCAGACCACCAGCAGGTTTGTTTCACCCTCTAGGTGTTGTCAGGGAATTACTGGAAACATGACTTTCTATACCTTTGATGCTCTTAAAATTATAGCCCCTTTTCCCTGCACAGAGATGTAGCTAGAAGGTCTGTGAAAGGTTTTAGCTCATGTTTCCAAGAAAGAACCACTGATTTTCTGATGAGTTAAGGCTTTGGCAACAGCAATGGGATTCTCTCACCTGCCAGCAGATAAGAATCATTGTAAATGTTCACCATTCTGGGCTATGCTATTTAGCCAGTTTAAAAGCCAGTACTGTGCCATCTGAATTTTCCCCTTTCAGAATTTCCATTGAATGTGGTCGTTCTGACAATCTGCCATTCCACCAGCACAGAGAGGTGCTTATCTTGCAAAGTTATTTCATTTATATTAACTCATTGTGTTTACTTATTTAAATATTCTCTGCAGATGAGACATATGGCAAATGCTGGCCAACTTAGTCTCAGCTGCTTCTCAGATCCAGATGCTAATATCATTTCATAACTTGGCTTGTGCAGTTCAGATCTGTACCAAAAGATTCTGTTTTGAATTACCATTATATTTGATATTAATACTAAGCATACTCACAGCTGTCCTACATTGCTATTTCCACCCTCCCTGGGATTCAGATCTCAGACAGAGAACATAACACTCTTCCATGTCTGCCTCTCAGGCTTTTAGATCTATCCTGGGCTCACAGTGTATTGTCTGCAGGAGAGAGTATGCACTAATTACCTCTGCATCATACCTAGCTTAGGGGCTTGATGGCCTTTTTGGGGTCAGGTCTAACCTGGGTGGTTTTTCCAGCACTGTAATAGTGATCTTTAACAGGGAAGTCCAGAAAAGACTGACGTGGAGATTGTTGAGTCTCTGAGGGCATGCGGGCTGGATTTCTGAAGTGTTTAGTCACCTGAAGATGAGGAATGGTATCTAATGGGATTTTCCAAACCACACTGGGTTCAGATCCTCAATGGTATTAAATGTCTTTGTCTCGGTGAAGCCAATGAGAGTGAAGCTGCCAAGCGTGCTGAGCATGTGGATGTCTATGCCCTGTACTCTTGGACAACATCTGCAGTCTGTAAGAGCATCAACACCTTTATGAGTCTGGAGAAGCCAGCCCAGCCCCAGAAGCTAAGCAGAGGACTTCCCTGAGCTGTGGGGAATGTGCTTGTGCCTGGCACAGAGATGAAATATTCCCAGCTCGGGTGCTTTGTGTAAAGCCCATGCCCACTCTCAGCCATGGTACTCACTGGGGAAATAGAGGGTGCAATGAGTAACACTTGCAGCCTGCTAAGGGCAGTACTGGACCAGCTGAGCCTGGGTAAATATTCCCATCACTGGGAATGGCACTTCAGTCACTTCTATGACTCAAGTTTATTTTCTCTTTCCCACAATGCCGGTGGCATTA